ATGCCACCCGAAAACTGGAGGAACCGCACCTCATATTCCGCCTTGGAACCCTACAACCCAATGGTCTCAATGTGGACTTTATGAGCTTCAAAATCTCCCCACGCCTGACTTCATCCCAAGACCAGCCCTCCCTCTCTTCCCCACCTCCTTGACCTGTCTGTCTTCTCTCCCATCTATCCGCTCCTCCCACCTCACTGACCAACTCCCATCCCAACTCCCTACCTACACTTACCTTTACTAGCTTCATCCGGCCTCCTCGACCTGTCCGTCTTCTCTCCACCTATCTGCTCCATTATCCACCTTCTATCACCGCCTCCCTCTTTCTATTTATTTCAGAAACCCCTTCCCCTCCCCCATTTCTGAAGAAGGGTCCAGACCCGAAATGTCAGCTCCTCTGATGCTGCCTGGCCTGCTGTGTTCCTCCAGATCCACACCTTGTTATCTCAGACTCCAGCATCAGTAGTTCCTACTATCTCGAAGCTCATAAGTTGTTGAAATTGAAACTGGTCAGCAAATTAGAAGGAGTGGAGTTCATATCTCACCTACACCTGTACTGGGAGATCAGAAAAGATCATCAGGACGAGCAACATCACTACCTAGCAGTGCACCATCAACACTGTCACCAGCAAGTGACACATGAACAACATCAGGCATGCTTATTACAACACCACAAGCAATGCACACATCAGCGGTGCAGTGGTATATCTCACCAGTGAGAGCAGTGAGCGTCAAATCTAAGTTGGAAACATTAAATCTTAAAAACCAAGCAATGCTGTGAACAATATTCTGAGAAAAAGTGTTGAGTTCATATATTTTTGTAATTAATATGGCTTAAGATCATAAAATTTTTGAGCTTAGTAATGAAAAGACTTAATTTGGATAGCAGTTTCAAAAATTTTGCTTTGCAGCAAAAATGTTGATAAATAGAATATGTTGCAAAGATTGTTAAGTGTGAGGAAGCTTCCAATAGTTTGTGATTGAGTTTTGACTGTCTCAAGCTTAATGTTACGTAAAGTTAAGTTGTGGATCTAGTGCACAATGTTGAAGCTTGCATGCTTCCTTTCATTTGGACTAATCAGGTTATCCTTATTGCGTTTAGACATTCGAATACAAGAAGGAATGTAACTTGTGGGAGGGTAATAAATGAATTTTTCATATAACGAGTCCTGGAATCATGATTACCGGCCAGAATTATGGTTCCAAAGTATTGTGATAATTGTGGGTTTTTTAAAAATCTAAATACACAAGTTTGCATAATTAGAAGTTTTACTTTTGTTGATGTTTAACACTATAAATTAGGATATTTAAAATTTTTATGATTAATTCTGAGTTGGATTGATCTTGGGTCAGAAAACTTAAAAAGATTTTAAGATTTTGTTCTTAATACAATGTTTAAAAGGGAAAGTAATTTTAAATTTGGATAATGATAATTGGAACTTGTAAAGAAAAAATCTGAGTGACATTATTGAATCAGAGGATAGCAGGGCTACCCCTAGCAGGGCTTTGTGGGCTGATGCTGTCACTTTAAGAGGTTATTTTGTCCTGGGTTATTTCTTCCCCGAAGAGGGGTTGTAAGGCAGGGGTGCCAAACTGGCTACTTGAAGATGACTTAAGTAAGAAAAACCTAAACATCCTCTAAGTTGTTTAAGTTGGGACAATGAAAGCGGCCTGAATGGGCGAGGCCAGCTCTCAGATCCAGATTTCTGGGTTTTGGTTTCTTCAGTAACATCAGAAGCTGTTTTGGGGTCTCAAAAGGATTGAAAGCTTCAGTGAATCTCTCTTGGCTGCTACACTCTCTGAATTTTCTTGATGTTTCTTCCCTCTGGACTGAAGTACTGCATGTAAGAATCTACGTCCGAGTTTGCCTTTTTGCCAATGGGTGTGTTTATGGGATGTTAATAATTGGAAGTCAATTAATAATAGATATTGTATCTATTATTCAGTTAAATTTTCCACCAGTTAAATTCCTCTTTCTTTTGTTCGTATTTTAACTATAGTCTTTAAATAAATTGTGTTTTGCTTAATGCCAAGTAGTTTGACCAGTTGCATTGCATCGGGAACACGCACTTCACATCTACCTTTAAAAGTTAGAGTCTAGGCGACCTTAAAATATTTTGAAAGGGTCCAGTTAGGTCCATAACATTTGCATGCAAATCATTGTACTTCAGCCAAAAAGGGAAAAGTAATTTACTCTACCCACTTTGCCAACAGTTGCCATTTCATCTCATTGCGCCATCAAGTTTGACGGGATGATGGCAAGTTTCCAACCTTGTCTCCTTGTGAGTGAGTTGCAGGCTTTGCCCGAGACAAACAATGACTCTCCTTATCCTTCAGGTGCTTTTTCCCATTCAACCCCTTGATATCACTGTTATTTCTCCCTTGAATCTATGTATTGGGAGATCTGCTATGCCCTTATTGACCATTCACTCTCTTCAGCTGCAAGTTAAAATAATTAACAATTGTCTCAACTCCCCAAATACAGAGATCCCACCTTTTCCCCATCATCATTCCGTCAGCACCCCTGTCCATTGAACATCCAAAGCCAGAGTTGAGCATCCCACGTATCCTAGGACCGCATCCTGACAATTATCAAATATCCTCGGACTAACCATGATCATGGGAAAATTCTACTGTTTATTTCCCAAAACATTAAGATAAGCAAGTGTTGAAAATGTTTTGCAGAAATCTAGTTTAAACTTACCAGTGACCGTAAGTCCTAAGAGGTCAGTCAGGTGAAAGGCAAAGACAAAGGGAACCTGTCATAGTTCTGCAGAATGAGGTAAGCAGCAAGGGCAAAAGTGGGGAAAATGAGATTGACACAGTTAAGGGCTAAGTCCACAACAATGGAAGAGATTGCTTGGTGAAGGCAATTGAGTGATGAAAGTGGCATCAGAAGATATGGTAGCAATATCAAACTCCTACAAGGAACACAATTCTTACAGAAAGCAAAGCAAAAGGAAATATTCCATCAACTAGAAACATTAACAAAAATAAAAATGAAGTACTGCAGATGTTGGAAATCTGAAACAAAGTGCAGGAGAAACTCAGCAGATTTGTCAACAACAGTTCGGACAAAGGGTCACTGGACTCAAAACATTAATTAATTTTCCTTCTACAGATGCTGTCTGGCCTGCTGAGATTCTCCAGCACTTTTTATTGTTTAATGTAACATTAACTACTTCTCTTTCCACATATGCTGTCAGATCCAAATAATTACAGCGTTTTCTAGTTTACATCACATCCAGCATTCAGTGTTTTGTGTTTAGATTTAATTGAAAGTTGCATATTCAGAAGAAGAAAGATTTTATGCAATTAAGCTAATATCATGAAAGCTATCCAAAATAGATTATTAATATCCTTCAGGAAAATGAATTTCTTCCTGTTCAAACTAGTGTATGACTGATTCTTTAACTATTGACTTTTAAGCATCCTTTTGAGGTGGCCCATTAAAACACAACTGTCAGGAAACCATGTCACAAATACATCACCAGTACAAGAACAAATTTGAAAATGAAAACTCAACAGAAAAGTCTCATCAGGATTTTTATTACAGAAAACAAAATTGAAATTATCACAGTGAGGGTTGTAACTTGGTATAGAATGAAACAAAAACAAAGTTGCTGGAAAGGCTCAGCGGGTCTGGCAGCATCTGGGAAGGAAAAAACAGAGTTAACGTTTTGGGTCCGTTGACCCTTCCTCAGAACCCGGATCCGAAATGTTAACTCTGTCTTTTTCCTTCACAGATGCTGCCAGACCTGCTGAGCTTTTCCAGCAAATTTGTTTTTGTTCCTGACTTACAACATCTGCAGTTCTTTCGGTTTTTATTTGGTATAGAAAGACTTAGAGTCATATAGTCATAGAACTGTACAGCATGGAAACAGACCCTTCAGTCCAACTCATCCATGCCAATGGGATGTCCTAAATTAATCTAGTCCCATTTGCCAGCATATGGGCCATGGTACAGCCTCCACTACTTTGTCTCACAGCTCATTTCAGACATGTACCATCCTCTGTGTGAAAAAGTTGCCCTTTAGGTCCCTTTTAAATCTTTCCCCTCTCACCTTAAAGCTACACCCTCTAATTTTGGACTCCACTACCCTTGGGAAAAGACCTTGGCTATGCACCCTATCCATGCCCCTCACAATGTTATCAACCTCTATAAAGTCACGCCCAGCCTCTGACACTCCAGGGAAAATAGCCCCAGCCTATTCAGCCCCTTCCTTCAGCTCAAACCCTCCAACCCTGGCAACATCCTTGTAAATCTTTCCTGAACCCCTTCAAGTTTCACAACATCTGCTTTTCTTTTCACCTATATCTTAAAATTTGACAACTAAAACAATTATTTTCCAGATAAATAAGCGATCGTTATAAATTATCTGAATAGAAGCAAGATCTGTTGCTGAAATCCCCATCCATGCATTTGACGTGTGACATGATTTGTTCCAACATAGTCCTGCCTGGCCTCTTATATTCTACAATCCATCAACTAAAGGGAATCTAAAACTCAACTGTCAGAGTCTTAACTAGGCCCCCCGTGCTTGTTGATCTTCATTGTGTTGCTTAACAAGAAGCCAATGACTTCAAAAACAGCCTGGTTTTCAGATCACTCAAAAGCTTCACCACTCGCCATTCCTGAAATCTATGCCAGTCCAAGAACCAGACATTCCTATGCTCTTCGAAATTCTAGCTTCCTGATCATCCCTGATTTTAATCAGTCTATCATTGCATCCATGCTTTCAGTCATCAAAAGCCAAAAGCTCAGCAATTCCCTCTCAACTTCCTCATCCATCTTTTCTCTTAGGTGCTCCTTAAAATCTACTTCTATGAACTCCTCCAATATCTGTATTTGGCATTGTGTTAAATTTGGTTCGATAATGCTCCTGCGCTGCATTTTCAAAGTGTTTTGTTATGGTAATGGTTCTATATAAATACAAGCTATTGTTAGTAAATTGCTCTCTAAGAAGGAAGAGGGGGAGAAAGAAATTAATCCAAATAAAAAGAACATTTAAGTCTGTTGATTTATTCTTTAATGTCAGTTTGCTTGCAACAAAATAACTTCATAGTAGTGGATCTGAGAACCATTTGCATTTCACACAGTTCAAAACATTAAAATCGGTTTATAGCATACAATAATCAAAACTGTCAAAACAAAACTGACAAAAAATACACTTTTGCTACTTCAGAACTGTATAAATACAAATTAACGTTTAAAACAGAAGTTAAAAAAATAACATTTATCATGCAATTATATACAGGAACTTAAATTGGAGTTTTAATTTTTCTGCATTTTATCTGTTGATATTTACGTCTATTTCTTGTATTCAGTTACTTAAGAAATATGAATAAGTGATTACATCAAAAACAGAACAATAGAATTTTATGATTAATTTCAATTTAAATAAATGCTTTAGCATTAATGAAAAATGAATCCAATCACACAACAGCTTACAGAATAAGAAAAATATTTTCCTGTATTAGCTAATATTGGACAAAAAATATAGGCACATAAAGTACACAAAAGTTTCATTATCAATAAGGAGGTGGATATAAACCCATTGTCTAACATATTGCTGACAATATTTTGTGACAGAACTTTATATAACAAAATTCAAATAATGTTATTTTTTAAAGTGCAATCAATGTTGTCATAGGATTAAAATTGTAAAATGTACAAGAGATACATGATTGACAGCAGAACTGTTTGTTATACGAAAGACATTGTTGGTATTCTCTCATGAACTGAGTCTATTCACTATCTTTCCACTGATCTTGTATATTTATTACTTAAAATCTAGACAAGTGATACAACGTATTTCCAATTCATCACAGTACTTGCTGCATTATCTCTGTGCAGTCCCAGTTCATACAACGTTTAGAGTGGTCTATGCCTTAATGAAAAGCTATTTTTTCCCCCCCGACCAGACTACTGTAGACATGTAGACACAAATGTGACTGCTTAATAAAATGAAATAAACAATTTAAAGTCATGGGACTTGTACTAAGAAATCAAAAAAGCAAATCAATTTGTGAGGAAGTATAACAAACCTTTTTGTATCATATTATAATTTAAGGTTCAGTCTCAATCAGCACAATGGTGGAAATATGCAAAAGATTAGTTAAGAAGAAATTTCCCATTTACACCAAATCAACAGCAAAAACCAAAGGGACAAGTAAATGATGCCATGTTGGGCAATTACAAAGTAGGCACCACTACTGTTTTGCAAGAAATCATGAAATATTTTGAGTACACAGGTATTTTCCACTCTGAGAAAAAAAAATTTCAGTGGTCAATGAGTCCTACAGAACAAACTCATGACCAGAGGTACTTCCATCTCTCGCTGTGCGAGTTATGCATCTCAATTTAAATATGTCAATTAAGAAAAAAAATACATAGACTGTCACAGTGCAAGAAGTCATTTCACAGTTGGTCATAAAAGTATTTTAAACATTTTAACACAATAATTGACTAAACAGGTCACTTAAAAATTTAAAAAAAACCTTGCATCTATTATCATGTTAAAGATGGAAATTGAAGGTTGAAGGGTTTAGGATTAGTTAGAGCCAGTTTGGGTTTGTGCAGAATGTTGAAGGGTCAACGCTTTGAGCCAAGCGTACAGATGCAAGCTTCAAAATTTTTAAAAAATCATGTTGCTAATTTTAGTTATACTGCTAAAGTCAGATTCATTTTCAAGGGCCAAAAAGGGTCAGCAATCCCTTGGCAGCCAAGTTAGGTTATCAACCAGTTTTGAAACAACACCAGAGTATTCCTGAAGCAATTCTTTACACTTTTCGTCAAAAATGGTGGTTGGACCATGAAGTCAAGGAAAGAAGCTGCGGAAAATAATAATTTAAAAAGAGTGCCATCCACATATGACCTTGCATTTTTCTTTTAATCCTTAGATCAACTGGCAATTACCCCCAAGTAGAACCTAAAGGTTTGCCCAGACGTACATATACTGCAAGAAACTGTTCATCAAATTTCAAGGTATAGGAGGAACTTACATCTATTCGGTCAAAAAGATAAAAATATTTCCTAGATGTAAAAACACTGATCCTGTAATATCTGCGTTCTCCATTCAAACAATTCCAACAAAGTAGACAAATTAAACTCAACAGTGGAAGCTTTCCGGGCAGCTAAAACCATCAAGAACCAGTACTTGCTTCAAACCCAAAAATAGTGAATTTTAACTATTGGATAGAGAGTAGCCTCCAATTTGCCACAATCACAGGACTGGACAAAAGCAGGAGTTACTTAACCATAAAGAAAGTGTTATTCAAATAGTTTCCACTTACCAAGTCACACTTTATTTACACATGCATTGTACATGACACTGACCCAGCTAGCTCAGAGCTGGCTCCTAGAGTGAACAGAACCCCCAACACTCCTGTTTTTATATGTCAGTCAGGGCACCTTGATTCGACCAGGTTAACAGCCTCAAACAGGAAACTCGTATTCTGCGAGGTCCACCTGGCTGAACTCATTCCAATCACTACAACAAATGAGTGGAAAATATAGTTTCTACTTGTGGAATGCATTAAGACTAAACGTGCCAATGAAAATGATATTTGTTTTAGAAATTTTAGGGACTGTCACAGTATGTTACTGGACATGATAGCTGCTTAGAATCTTTTCTGAATAGCAGTCAAAAAATATTAGAGAGGGACATATCAGGTATTAAAATTGATTTCTATAAAAATGACAGAACTTTTCAGGTAGCTATATATCATTTTGCAAACATTGCACAACTTTTTTTTTATGAAACACAGTTCCTCGAAATGAATATGGCTTCTACAGAATGCTTGTACTTGCTTTTCAGAAATTGAAACTGAAGTAGTAGGAAAACCTGTAGGCTGTATTTTGAATGAGTTAAACAACAGTCAGGAGAATATCATTTAATGTCAAGAAAATAATTAATTTTGAAACCTGTAGTTGGTTCTGGCTCCAGGGTCGATTGCAGTGTCTATGTCAGCAGTGGGGAATGCCATCATGCAGGATGCACAACTTTAGACATGCTAAGAATTGAGGACACCATTAAACTCTGTACTTGTTAACCAAGTTACTGTTAAAGGTCTCCAAGGATATTTAATGATTTGAAAGTCATGGCCTACTGAACTTCCTAAGACTACAGGAGGACACTGCCTAAATCTTATACAAGGCAGCTGGACTTCAATTGGTTATTGTTACATGGAGACCAGAAAGGTATGCATGTAGATAATATGCAACATGGATCTTTTAAAATAATCAAAATGTTCAACAAATTCTTCTGGAATTACTTCCCTTTCCATATATAATGCAGAGAAAGATCTGGAAAATATTTTTACTCTTACCTCTTCTAAATAAATACTGATGTAAATAAACAAGCAAAATAAAACAATCCTGAAAATCCTATAGCAACTGATTTATAAAAGTGTGACAGTTAAAGTTGTTGGTCCTTCAATTTCAGTGAACAAATTGTACAAGCACCTTTTCATTTTTCCAACTGCTGACAGACTTGAATATTTCTGAATTTCTGTTTTTATTAAATATCCAACAGAATCTTAGCTAAAATGTTATCTTAAGTGTAACATAAAAATGGATAATGACAAAGCCAGAAGCAGTATAATGTGCAGGTACAATACTTTCTTGCACTGTTCTGCATTGATCCGATACAGTGCAGTTAAAGTCCTAAGAGACATGGATCCGAAGCACAGTAAGATTCTGTTCCCAGGTCCAGAAACAGGACTTTTCTTTATAGTGTGCACAACAGCAAATCAACACTGATTCAAAGTCTTCCGGTGTTCAGGGCTCATTAAATCAACTGCCATGCCAAGATATGTATTTCAGAGTCTGTCTGACAGCATTTCTTCAAGCCAGCTCCAATCAAGAGACTGAAAAAGAGTAGACAGATATTGACTAGTGGGTACTGCAATTGAAAATCAATTCTTTATCCACTCTATGCAAACGAGCAGGGAAGTCCTGACCTTAGATTATGAAAGTCTACACTCAATAATAGGAGTACTGATAAGCCTTCAAGTTAAGAGTTCAGGATGTTACAAGGTATCAGACTTCTTCTGCATGCAAAGAAAAAACACAGGCTTAAGTGTTCTTTGCTGAACTCTTTATGCAAAATAACTTCACAAACTTCAACATACATCATTTATCTTTACTGAACATATTCACAGCATAATAAAGAAACAATGTAATTAACACAGGCCCATTAATACTCAAATCTATTATATTATTTCATAATGTTATGAGTCAGTAACAGTTGGACTTTTTCTTCCAAAAAAGAAATGAGTGCCAAGAATGTTCAGATCGTTAATGTTTGTATTGCCAGAATTTATAGCAAATTGTATTGCACCTGACATGGTAATCTATTAAGACAGCATTTAAAAAAAAATTTAACATTAGAGATTACAAATGAAATCATCGGGCACGTGTTACTATGGCCTCCTGTGTATAAGTCGGATAATGTATTATGATGATGCTGTGGCTTTCTAAGGTGTATTTTGTCCTGGTTTCTTTTAAGAAAGAGATTGAACAAGAAGTGCTAAGCAGTCTATGTTAAACGGCTTGGGAGGCTTTAGGATTTTTTTAAAAAAAGTTGGAACAATAGAAGCAGCCTAAATGGATGCGGTCAGCTCTCAGTCCAGGACTTTTAGTTGTTTTAGGCTTTGTGATTCAGAATCAGAAGCTGCTGGCATTTTTAAGTTGCAGAAGCTATTTTCTCCCTCTCCCATCTTGGTTACAGGTAGGAGCTGGGGTTTCTTTCCCTACTGCGGTGTTGCATGTGAGAAAATCTGATTTCTCAATTTGTCCCTATGCCCAGTGGTGTATTTATGGGATGTTATTATATTGGAACAGTTAATTAATCATTACTGTATCTATTATTATGTTAAGTTTTCCAACAGAGTTAACTTATTCTAAGTTCTTCTTTCTTTTGTCGTATTCTAACTTATATTTGAATAAATTGGGTTTTGCTTAACGTCAAGTAGTTTTGACCGGTTGAATTGTATCTGGAACACAGCACTTTAAATTTACCTGTTAAATAAGAAAAAGTGAGCGTCTAGGCTACCTTCTTAAAATATTTTGAGGGGGGATGATCTGTTGCATTATAGTATCATGAAAAAATAACTTCACAATAGCTAAATTGTACTTTAAAGGAGCATCAGCATTCTGAAGAGAGAATTAGCCAGTAGCATCTATAGCCAAAACACATTGGTCCAGACCTTCTGGTCTCAATATAGTCGGAAACCAGCTGTACCTTTACAGATACACTTTGAAGTCCTCATGCACGAAATACACAGGATTTGCTCAGGAAATGTAAATTTACATTGGGCAATTATCTTGCATCCAAAATGCTCTGGAAGAATTCCCAATGGAGATAACAGTCAGAAATTTGAGAGTTTAGACTTACACAGGAAACGTTAGAGGGATTAAAACTTACTGTAACTCTGGGGTAATGTGAAAACTGACCACCCTGATTCACCATTGACCCCTAACATTCCTCCCAACATTCCCAAACCATTGGCTTCCCATGCTGCATGAATAAGAGTGTCACTTCTTGGAAATTTAGGCCCATTTACCGTAACTCAGTTAAAATTTTGAACAGTACTTACCGATATACTATTATTCTGTTCTGACAGAGTTTCCCGCATCAAATCATGCAACTGGCTGCAGAAATGTTGGTTCTCTTCAATTACAGACATTGAAGATTCACTATAAGTCATATAGAAAGATGACCAAATGAGCTCACAATGTGGATTACTTTGTGTTTGACAATTAGGCTTAGCTGAACTTAAAGACTGGAAGCCCAACAGACATCTATTTTGGTAATCAAATTTATATTTATATAAGGTACACAAATACTATCACATTTATTAGCTTTTTTTTACATTGTTGGGTTCACACATTTGAAAGCATTTCCAAGATTATCAATATCTAAATCTAATAGAAAGTTTGAAATACTCAAACTAACAAGTACAGAATAGGAAGATCTAATTATTTTGACAGATTTCAAAACCACTGAACCGTTTCCAGATTTGAACTGCTTTTTCCAAAAACTTCAGTCAATTTTTCAAAGCATATTAACCAAATGTACTTAGTTAAAATGTACACTGCAAATTCAAGTGTAAATAAAAGACAAAGTAAAATCCAGATAGTTCCTACCTGTTTTTCATTGCAGGTATAGAGGACAAAGGGTTAGGTAAAGCATTTTGTGGCATAAAATTTTGCCCTTGTTGTGTCCATCCTAAACCATGGGGTGAACCAGAAGACACCGGGCTTGCACTTTCAGGACCTCGAGCTGTGCTCTGAAATGAAGGCAAGGGTTGGTAAAACTCAATGCATGGTATGAAACAGAATATTTTCCTTTCAAAAAAGGGAAAAAAGGCAGCATTAAAGCACACTGCCATACAGCAGGCATGGATGCAAGTTCAAGCTCTTCCTGTCAGGAAAGTTACAGGTTATCAAACAAAAAGGACAAAAGCAACAAAAAAAAAGTTGTCTGAACAATAATAAACACAGAGTTAAGTGATTTTTTTCCGGGCTGGAGGAAGGTACGTATAAATGATCTAAAGCTGCGCACGTATGAGACAATTTCAAAAGTTGTCAGGCAACACATGTGCAAAAGCTGTAAACTGTGAGGAGAACAGCATAGGGCTTCAAAAATACACGAACATGTTGGTGGAGTGGGTGCATAGGTGGCAGATGAAATTCAATGCAGGAAGTGAGAGAGGTGAAATATTTTGGTACAAAGCGCATGGAGAAATGGTATAAATTGAAAGGGTACTATTCTAAAAGGTATGCAGGATGGAAACACGCACAAGTCATTAAAGTTGGCAGGATACAAAGAGAGACACTGCCATTTAAAAAAAAACACCATATTCTAAGCTTTACTAGTAGCAGTATAGATTACAGAACAGGGAGGTTACACTGAGGTTATAGAGGGCACTGGTTAGACCTCAGCTGGAGTATTGTGTACAGTTCTAAGTGCACACTGTTGGAGAGAGTGCAGAAGAGGGTTTACAAGAATGGTTCCAGGGATGAAACATGTCTGTTAGGACCGTTTTCCTTACAGAGATGGCCAAAGGGTTTCCAAAATCATGACGAGTTTAGACACAACAGATAGGGGGGATATTGTTATCCCTTGTAAAAGAATTTGTAACCACAGGGCAGAGTTTTTAAAAAATTGCAAGAGAAGCAAATATGAGGTGATAAACAACATTTTTGCACAGCAAGTGGGTTAGGTTCGGAAATAGACTGCCTGGAAGTGTGATGGAGGTAGGTTTAATTCAGGGATGGGATAATTATTTAAATAGAAACAATGTGCAGAATTACAGGGAAAAGGCAGGAAATTGGCACAAAGTCAAATTCCAGAAAACTGGTCAAGACTCAATGAGCCAAATGGCCTCTTTCAGCACGATAACAATTCTGAGATTGCATTCAGATTCCAAGCACAGGTTGCAGCATTTCCCAATATGAGAAGATAATTAAAGCTGGCTTTTAAGTATGGCACCATGAAATATTATTTTTCATCAAAACTTTCCTCCACAAAAAATTTTGGCTGGCCCAGGATGAAGAAGTCAAGTAATATTGAAGGCGCATCTATCTAACATAGGATTCTTCATGGGCTTGTCAGGGCAAATGCTGACAGGATGCTTCACCTCATGGGAGAGTCTTGGACTAAAGGGAGTGTAGTCTCAGAATTGAGGGGTATCAATTTAAGGCTGAGATGAGAAGGAATTTTTTTTCTCAGAGGGCTGAGTGTCTTTGGAACTCTTTGCCAAAGAGAGCTGTTGGGGCACAGCCCTTGTGTACATTTAAAAGTGAAATAGACGAATTCTTGATCAGGACAGGAATCAAGGGTTACGGGGAAAATGCACTTGAGGAATATCGGATCAGTCATTCCTCAATCAGACACACTTCACAGGCTGAAATCAAAGCCACTTATAAGGAACTCTAGCAACATGTCATCCATTATAGAATCCCTCCAGTGTGGAAGCAGCTCATTCGGCCCATCAAGTCCACACCAACTATCTGAACAGCATTCCACTCAGACCTACCCACGAGCCTATCCCTGCCTTTCCACTCAAGATACTTTGGCAATTTAGCATAGCCAATAACCTGCACACCTTTGGACTGCAGGAGGAAACCGGAGCACCCAGAGGAAACCCGCACAGACACAGGGAGAACGTGTAAACTCTAAACAGACAATCGCCCAAGGTTGGAATCGAACCCAGGTCCCTGGTGCTGTGAGGCAGCAGTGCTAACCACTGAACCACCGTGCCGCCCTTTTATCTAGTTCATACTATGTTCTTCTTGCACAACGAGGTGATGGCCTAGTGGTATTATCGCTGGACTGTTAATCCAGAGATCGAAGTAATGTTCTGGGGATCAGAGTTTGAATCCCACCATGACAGATCATAGAATCCCTACAGTGTGGCAGCAGGCCATTCGGTCCATCGACTCTCCATAGGGCATCCCATCCAGACCCACCCCCTGCCCTATTCCTGCATTTCCCACCATTGACACTACAGGTAATTTAGCATAGCCAATCCACCTAACCTGCACATCTTTGGACTGTGGTTGGAACTCTGAGCAACTGGAGCAAACCCCGCGCAAACACGGGCAAAGGATTTCACGTGACGGAGCCAAGTTTGTGAGAGCTTGAGATTCTGCATACATGTCAGAATAATTATGTAAGGAGACAGCCTCAAGACAATAAGATTAAAAAGAAATTCAAGAACAGATTCCTCTTTTTATTATATAGTATACGAAGCAAATTTCCCTTCTATGAACTTTTAATTTAGAAGAATGATCAGCAGTACCAACAATTTTAATGCTTTTATGATGTCACTTAGTTGCAAAAGGCTGTTGATTGATATAAATGTACTCCTGCTACACTACCAAATATGAAAAGGTTAACCTTTTATCAGCAATTATAACCAAATTAATCAAGAATGCAATGCGAATGAAGCACATGGTACAAGGTGCAGAATGTTCAGAAAGCAAGTTACCATCCTCTCCAATGCTTTCCTGCTGAAATAAGGAGTCAAGTCACTCATTCACTTCCCAGTCAGAGACATAAACACAGTGTATCTTAGATGAACATACGAGTTAAGAACATTTGGCCCCTCAACCCTACTTGACCATTAATTAAGATCATGGCTGATCGGATTATAACCTCAACACCACATTTGCACTTACCTCCCAATAACTTTTCAGCTTTTTTCTCCTCAAAAATCAATTCATATCTGCCTTAAAAATATTCAAAGGCTGCCTTCCTTAAATGACAGTGGAAGCACACACTCAGAAACATTTCTCCTCATCTCTATCTTAAATTGACAATCTGCTTATTTTTAAACAGTGACCCCCTGGTTCTTTTACCAGTGGAGAAGTCTTCGCATGGAAAAAAAAAAACAATAAGTTATTGTGATACTGATTAAATAAGACAAAAAAGGTTAAAAATATGAAAATACATTATCTTGAAGACTTACCATGGAGCGACAGTATGCAATAAAAAACTGAAAGTATACCCATTCCACCCAAATTTAGAGTGGCTGAGATGACAATAGTGATGGTTTTATAATAAGATTGATTGTATTGAGAGATTTTAAAAAATTCATAATACCGCTAGATATAGGAAAAGAGTACTTACACAAGCAATTTTTAACAAATACCATATTTCTTTCTGCCTCTTTTCTTGCGACCGCAATAACATTTTTTCATTTTCTCTAATGTTGTCAAGCGCTTGTTCAATCTTGGGAAAAAGATCAATGATTTTCTGCTTGCAGGCCAGAAGTTTACTGTAAAACAAAAATAGACAATAGTTAAAGAAAAAGCTACCATGACAGTTCGGTGATAATGTATTACTTACAAAGGATATACTGATTAATATCAAAACACACAGTTTGAAAAGTCAATACATTTAGTTTGACACCAGTGTTAGCTCTGATAAACCAAGCTTTTACAATGTTCGTTTGAGTCTAAGCAAGCGTATCTTTCAGTACTTATACCATTGTTGGGACTGTAAATATCGGGAAGATCAAAATCGCCATCTTTAGTCCTTTGGATAAACACTGTTTCCTAGCAACCAACTCCATTTCTCTCCTCAGCAACAGCCTGAGGTTGAGACAGACTGTGCACAACCTTCGTGTAATACTTAACATTGAGATGAGCTTCCAAAAATGTACAATCTTAAAAACATTTTAGCATCACGTAAACCTGCCCTGCCTGATCAGCTGCTCAAATCTTCACCATGTCTTTGCCTTCTCTAGAATTCATTCTTCAAATAAACTCTTGCTGACCTATTATATTTTACCTTCCATAAAATTCAAAGTTCTGCTGCTCATATCCTAATTCACACCAAGTTGTGTTCATCCGTCATTCCCATACTGACCTATAATTTCTTCTGAGTGGACAATGTCGTGATTATAAAATTCTCATCCTTGTTTCTAAGCTCCTCAGCGGCCTTGCTCCTCTCATCTCTACTCCAGTCCCACACCCTCAGAGGTATGTGCTCCTCTAAATCAGTCCAGGTAAGCATCCCTGCTTGGCCATACCTTCAGCTGTGCAATTCCCTCTCTAAACTTCTTCACTTCTCTTTCTTCCTTTGGACATATTAAACTCTCTTCTTTGAAAAAGCTTTTGGTCATGTACTCTTACATTTGATGTGGTTTTGTGTCACATTTTGCTATCTAACACTTCTGTGAAGAGCCTTGGAAGGTGTTATTCTAGCAAAGGTGCCATTAAAAATACATCTTGTCTTGCTATTAGACAGTGTACAAGACACGATAGGTATTCTTTCTACGAGCCTTCTCCACGTTCCCTTTTAAAGCTAGATAGTAGATAAAAGAAAAAAAAGGTGACAGATCATAAACTGAAGAAAGATATTGCACACATACACTACAAATGAACTGGACTTAATTTTTAATCTCATCAGTGAACCTTGACATTGATGCATTTTTGAGTTGCATAGGTAATAAATGCAACTAAATAAAAGTACTTTGAAAGTATTAGCAGGAAACAAGGAACCAAAATTAAAGGGAAAATTTAACCTGATTAGGAATAATGAAGCAGACAATGCATATGATGTCAAAGACGTCTTAACTCAAATCAAAGTACATCAATGGTCACATGAGGGCTTCCATGATTAGTAGTGTAGTGATTATGGATAGTTCAGATCTTCTGTCCATTGATGGCACTGTTTAGGGAATGCTTTTATATAATATAAAATATTCTCAAGCACATGGCAAAAGGGATTGCAGCTTTTTGTGTGAAATGACAAGCAAATATTGTCATCCCTAGAAAGAGAGAATAATCCTACTAAACTATTTTATACAATGCAGTAAATGCCATAAAGTAAACAGACTCTTTAAGAAGTGGAGCATTATACATGTTATTAAAGAAAAAAAAGCATTAAAATTCTGTACATTCTGATCAGTAGAGTTGATCTACCAAACTACTACATTAATCACGTAAGGCAGTTAACAACATAGTTGAACAGTAATGACTAGATTTTAAACTAGATCTGCCACCTAAGTGTTATGACTACAAACAAAGGCTTAGAGGCTGCACATTTTCTGGCAAGGATCTCTCATCCTGACTTCGCAATGCCTCTTGGCCACTGATCTGGCATAACTCAGCGTTCAATGTGGAATACTCCCTACTCCCCTTCTGCCTACCTGGGGACAGATCAGCACTGAAGCTCTGCAGGACAAAGCAGTCTGCTTAATCAGGGATTCAAGCATAATCTAAACACCCAACTTCCCTAACACTGATGTACAGTGACTACATGATGTACAAGGGTGTATTGCAACAACTCAAAGGTTTGGCAGCACTAGCCAAACCTCTGACCTCCACTGTCTGGAAGAACTAGGACAGTAGTATACAGGAGCATCATCACCTCCAAACTGCCCACCATCCTGATTTGGAAATATATTGCTGTACCATTACCAAGAGAGTAAAAACCTTGGAATGCTTCCCTTTCAGTTGTGTGACAATGCCTTCACTGTATTGACTGAAGTTGTTCAGGAAACATGACACCAGCATCTTCTGAAGGGATAAACAATAAAACAATGGCCTTAAGATTTCTCTAGCTGAATAGTTATTAAAATCAGAGTTAATTTAAGTGACCAATTGGTAAGAAACTGAACCAAACAAACAGTGGAAGAGTGACACACGTACGTTTGCAGGAAAACACCAAAGGTGAATCATTTACAATGAACAATTATCGACCAGACATGAAACTCAGCTAGCTTTTTAAAATGGTCCAAGTTTACAAAAACATCAGATTTACAATTTTGCAAAACCAATATAAATCATGACTATTATATAAGAACTATAAAAAAGGTAATTCAGTAAAAGGGATAGTAGGAACTGCAGATGCTGGAGAATCTGAGATAACAAGGTGTAGAGCTGGATGAACACAGCAGGCCAAGCAGCATCAGAGGAGCAGGAAAGCTGACGTTTCGGGTCTGGACCCTTCTTCAGAAATGGGGGAGGGGAAGGGAACTCTGAAATAAATCGAGGCGGGGGACGGGGAGGCAATGATGGAAGATGGATAAAGGAGCAGATAGGTGGAGAGAAGGCGGACAGGTCAAGGGGATGGACCCAGTAAAGGTGAATGTAGGTGGGGAGTTAGGATGGGGGTTGGTCAATTGAGGGATGACCGTCAGGTCAAGTAGGCGGGGATGAGGCTGGTAGGTAGGAGGTGGGGGTGGGGGTGGGGGTTGGTCAGTGAGGTGGGAGGAGCGGTTGGGTGGGAGAAAAGACGGATAGGTCAAGGAGGTGGGGACGAGTTGGGCTGGTTTTGGGATGAAGGTCGGGGGTAGAGAGATTTTGAAGCTTGTGAGGTCCACATTGATACCATTGGGCTGCAGGGTTCCCAAGCGAAATATGAGGTGCTGTTCCTGCAGCCTTCGGGTGGCATCGTTGTGGCACTGGAGGAGGCCTAGGATGGACATGTCATCCAAGGAGTGGGAGGGGGAGTTGAAGTGATTCGCGACTGGGAGGTGCAGTTGTTTATCGCGAACCAAGCATAGGTGTTCCACAAAGCGGTCTCCAAGCCTCCGCTTGGTTTCCCTGATGTAGAGGAGGCCACATCGGGAACAGCAGATACAAACAGACCACATTAGCAGATGTGCAGGTGAACATCTGTTTAATGTGGAAGATTTTGTTGGGGCCTGGGATGGGGGTGAGGGTGTAGGTGTAGAGGCAGATATAGCACTTCCTGCGGTTGCAGGGAAAAGTGCCAGGGGTGATGGGGCTAGTGGGGAATGTGAAGTGGACGAGGGAGTCACAGAGGGAGCAGTCTCTTCAGAAGGCAGAGAAGAGTGGGGAGGGAAACATGTCCTTGGTAGCGGGGTCAGACTGCAGGTGGCGGAAGTGGCGGAGGATGATGCGTTGAATCTGGAGGTTGGTGGGGTGATAAGTGAGGACGAGGGGGATTCTGTTTTTGCTGTTATTGCAGGGAGGGTGTGTGAGGGATAAGTTGCGGGAAACACAAAAGATGCGGTTGAGGGCGTTTTCAACCTCTGTGGAGGGGAAATTGCGGTCCTTGAAAAACGAGGACATCTGGGATGTCTGGGAGTGGAATGCTTCATCTTGGGAGCAGATGCGGCGAAGGCGAAGGAATTGGGAATAGGGGATGGCACTCTTGCAGGAAGGTGGGTGAGAGGAGGTGTATTCTAGGTAGCTGTGGGAGTTGGTAGGCTTGAAATAGATATCAGTTTCCAGGCGGTTGCCAGGAGATGGCAACAGAGAGGTCTAGGAAGGAGAGGTATCGGAGATGGTCCAGGTGAACTTAAGGTTGGGGTGGAAAGTGTTAGTAAAGTGGATGAACTGTTCGAGCTCTTTGTGGGAGCACGAGGCGGCGCCAATACAGCCATCAATATAACGGAGGAAGAGGTGGGGGATAGGGCCAGCGTAGCTGTGGAAGAGGGACTGTTCCATGTATCCTACAAAGAGGCAGGCATAGCTTGGGCCCATGCAGGTACCCATGGCCACCCCCTTTGTCTGTGGGAAGTGGGAGGAGTTGAAGGAGAAGTTGTTAAGGGTGAGGAAGAGTTTGGCTAAGCGGATAAGGGTGTCGGAAGAGGGAACCGGTCAGGCCTGTGGGAGAGGAAGAAGCGGAGGGCCTTTAGGCCATCTGCATGGGGAATGCAAGTATATAGGGACTGGACGTCCATGGTAAAGAGGAGGTGTTGAGGACCAGGGAATCGGAAGTTTTGGAGGAGGTAGAGGGAGTGGGTGGTTTCATGGATATGTGAAAGAGCTCATTCAGCCCAGATTGTCTGCACCAGTAGCTGCCCATCCCAATTCTACTTTCCAACATCTGGTCTGTAACTTTGCACGTTACAGCATTTCAGGGACATATCCAGGTTCCTTTAAAATGAGCCAAGGGCTGGCATTAAGAGTTTAATGTAGCAATATTAGAAACTGCACTCTGACTTTCAAAATTACACAGTCTGCTTTCAACATTGAACAAACATGTTACACTTTTAAAAGGAACTGGCGGGAAGGGAAGAAAACCAGTAGCAAATTCCATTTAAATCAAATTAGCGCTATAACCAAAGCAGATGTAGGTTTCAATATAACAAATACTGGATGACATGATGACTAAGCTGGAGGTATGTCTAAATATTTTCAGCAGAGAGCTCATTGAAATATTTGTTCAATTGTAAACAGAATTTTCAAGTCAGCCCTTGGAATGAATTGGTGCATAATACCATTAAAACTTCAAGTGACAGACACTTGATCTGGCCTGGTTATTTTGTAATTGTGCTTTTTTCTTTTAAAAAAAAAGCTATGCATTAATGTCCAACTTCTTGGCCACTCATTTTATTCTCAAAGATCTATTAATGGCATATGTTAAACTATGATTATTCAAATGCAAGATCTGACATTGACATTGGTCAGTGGGAGAAAGGCACACATGTTTCAGCCAAGCATAACTTATTCTAATCCAATATTGATTCAAGCTCCTACTCTACTGGGGTTAAGAGTCAGGAATCAAGGCAAATATTATGACTTATCTTTCTCTTCCCTAATTAGGTCAACTGGATCCTCCTTAAAATTGGCTAAATGAACTAGTCATAAAATACAACATATGAATTTTACCCTCAAATAAAAACAAATTGCTGCAGAAACTCAGCAGGTCTGGTACCATCTGTGGGAAGCAAAGCATGAGTTAACATCTGCTAATTTTTTTTTAAAAAGTTAATATGATAACTTCAATGACAATTTTCCAAAGAAAACATACTTCACCATAAATTAAACTATAAACAGCACTGAAATTTTAAATCTTTCAACTATTTATACACCACCTCAAAACAAATTTTGCATTTGTACCTGAGATGGGCATATAGCTCCTTTAGCACCCGATCTTGATTCTGCACAGTTTGAACAATGATCTTTACCATTTCTGTGCTGTCTCCGTATTGATGTGAATCTTAAAAACAGGAAAAAAAAAATGGTTTCACTTGATAAGGTATTTTGGGAATGCACTGGACATAGAACAATAAAGGGAAGCTGCCCTATCAATAATTTTCTGAAAGAATTCTATTTCTCACACTAGTACAGATGCGCCAGAGCACATCTACTCAATAATATTGTCGTCCGTGGGACTGATGTAAAAAGTTAACAGACAAATCATAGCTTTGTCATCCTCAACATTTAAGTTATTTTCTTTACAGAAACTAAAACAAAATTAAACTGCCCCATAATCAGGTTGTTATCAGGTGAACAATATACCAATTCCACTGCCACCAATGTTATTCAGTGGATACAACGAGTCTTTAAAAATGTTTCAATGAGGATAAAACTGATGCTGTGCCAAGAATGAAGATGGTACTGGTTTGTGTCAGAGGTATTCAGACCAAGACATTCCAGTAATATGTAGATCCTAATGTTTATGTTTATGTTTATATTCCTAATGCTCATATTCTTGCTCAAGCATTCCAAGAAAATTATGTGCTAACGGAGGTTCTGACCAAAGAATTCATTCTGTAGACAACGGGAGGTAGATCAAATCCAAAAGTTACAAAAATGAATTGTTAAATTGGAGTTGATCTAAAACTGTGTGTTTGGGCAGCAGATGCTCCTTCATTCCTTCTACTCTGCCTAAATGTTTGGTAGAGGCAGAAACATGCAATGCATTTAGTAAAACAAAGCATGGAAATACTTGACTGCAACTTACAATAGAAAGCTGGAGTTAAGTAATTAAAGGAGTTGAGGACAGAAAGGAAAGGACGTGTCCTGCTGCTTTTTCGAAATTTTCTCAGCCTCAAATTACTTCTCACTCTGCTTCAAGAGAAGCTGGTTATTTGGTGAATATCTGGTAAGTGATGCAATTTGTATTCAATTTCTAAGGTTCAAGATGATGTAGCAACAAGGTTAGCAAGGTTGATTAAAAAAAAAAGAAAAATTGACAAGAATAGTTCAATAAATCCTTAGAACACACTGAAGATGATATTGAGAGTGATAGCTCACAACTGCAGCATGTGGGACCTGGATGCCAGCTTGGTCCACAGCAAACGTGTGCGAGATGCATTTGAGTTTCGAGCAGAGTTGGGTCAGCTCAGCATTCTTGAGCTGGACACTCAACGACAGACAACGTGATGTATCGAGGAGGGGAAAAGCTAGCTGCATTCTTGTTTGAGGTGGCAGTCACACCATCTAGGATAAGGCCTTCTGATTTGATCACTGGTCAGTGGCCAGAAGCGTGTGACCATTAGCGGGGCAGATAAAGGGATCCATAGGACAGCAGGGCAAGAATGTCCGCTTCTGGAGTTGTCAAATGGTTTGAGGTTCTCTCAGCCTGTCTGAATAAGAATGGCAGCTGCAGTGGGCGAGCTGACCATGACACAGGAAGCCATTCGTGACAGGAGAGTAAGAGGTAATGTAATAGCAGTAGAGGACAGTACAGTGAGGATAATTGCCACTATTCTCTGCAGCAAAGAGAGCAAATCCAGATGGCTGTGTAGCCTGCCTGGTGCCAGGGGATTCAGGATATATGCATGGTGCTGGAGAGAAACTTGAAATGGGAGGGGGGCCATCCAGTCATTGTGGCCACGAAGGTACAATTAACATTAACAGGACAAAAGAGGAGTTTCTGCATCATCAGTATCCCTTGGCTTTCTTCTCCCACACCAGTCTTTGAGCTATACACAATTTCTCTAACTTAATATGCCCTTTGCAAATTTGCACAACGCTCAGACCAGATCCCCTCAAAGTGTATCAAGGAGATAGTCTAGATCCTAAGTTTTAACTTATTTAAAGGCAAATGTAAGGTGCTGTGTTCCAGATGAGATTTGATTGGTCCACTATTAGGCTTTAAGTAATACTTTGTGTTACCTCCTGAAAGAACTCAAGGTTGAAATTTTGTATGATTATTTCATAAATGAACTGCCTAAAATCTGATTCCATGTACATGCAGTGATATATTTTGAACTCTTTTCTAAGCATGATTGGATTGATTAACAGCAAGATAGATTTTGGTAAAGCTGCTAACCAGCAATTGGTGCAATCGATCATTGTTGATAAGAGATTGTGTGCGTCCATACTTTGGGCAAAAAGGTCATAAAACGTATAGCTGTATTCTGTTATGCGGATCATTTTCATAATTTGTTCTATTTAACCTGGCTCCTCAAAAGTCTCATGCTTTTTCCTCTCTGCAACAGTTCCAAAAATGTTAATTCATGCTCTAACCGAGGTTTGCTGAGTACAGACAAACTAGAGCATCACACATTAAAATTAGTTACTCCTGGTGTTTCTTAAAATGTCCTTACACAGTTTAATGAATTGTTTAGGAGTTGCCAAGGATAAAATCTAATCGTGAATTGGAAGAAGTGTTTTATAAGTTGTTCAATGCTTATAAAGATAAAGCTGAATGTGCAGAGTTAAAATATGTGCATTACCTTTTGGTTTCCCCTTGAGCTTCCTGTATAAATCAATGGCTTTCTGTTCTCTAGTAAAGGAAAATTATGATTAGCAAAATAATTTATTATGTCAACATAGTTGTAAATCAATCCAATGAATTGTTATGCCTGTTGAGCGACCACAACTTCCTATAAATAACTCCTTTCTTAAATTAATCTAAACATGGGGGTGATTGCACTGGTCTACTGAAAGCAGACTTATGGATTTTACTAGGTTGTATTCAATCTAAGCACAGACTTAAAGCATTTGTTCCGATGGAAGCTCAGAACTAAATAACTGCTTTCTGCTCATTTCCCATTAAGTTTAGAGATCTATTTACCCTCCAAGAGCAAAGTACTTCCCATATTTGTGTCCTCAGATTTGAGGGGGGTTTTTGCACGTTACGCAACTGAACTATAATAAAGCGAAAACATTTAAACAGAAATGAACTAAATTCAGTTTACATTGAAGCTTAATAGCCACCAAAAAATCAAGAATTTCAGCTGATAATCCTGATCTTGTTCTTTTAATTCACACAGTCTAGAAATTGAAGATGGTGATTTGACCTTGGCATTACTCCATTGATTTCAACAACTTCTCTCATCCCTTTAGAAAATTATAAAGGAATCTACCACACCATGAATTATCACGTTTCTTACAGGTTTTCCATAACATCTCCCTGACGCCTTGCATATGGGCTCCTCTGCAGTTCCACTATTTCACTGTGTAGTCCCACAATCTGTTCTTCCAAATGACCAATTTCAGCAGCCTGAAAATGTCCAAAAATGCTTCTGTAAACCAAGTGAGCTTTTGGTTTTATTATCACTGCTATTCTTGAACAGAATAAAAATAAATCATATAAATAGAAAATTTAGCTTATTCAGTTGTGAAAAGATACACAGTATAGCAATAAGGTTGTGCAGCTCCCTCCATGCTTGTACAGAAATAGGCATATACAGTCTAACTTTCTCCCACTGTCTTGCACAGTTACCTGAACATCATCCTTAGGGAAAAGAGCTGCCATATCGCACCAACCAAAAAGCAACTGAGACACCTCGTATCCTCAGAGTTGGCATCTCTGTTGGTGCTACACATTTTACATGTTCTGCACAATTGATATGGAACAAATCTTCAACTAGCACTTCCTTGCATGAGTATTTTGCACCTGTTAGTCTGCCAGCTTGAATCAATGTGGCAAAAATATCGCCATACCAATAACTAAACTGCATGTCACTTTACAACTTTGACTCCAGCAAGACTGGAAAAAATATTGCTCAACCTTTTACTAGTAATATGCCAATTATAAAGGGCTGCAGTTGAGACAGATCACAAAAAAGTAATTCAAGCCGCTTGTAAATTCTCTATATACTAAACAGCATATATTTAATTTCACCCCTTCAACTCTGGATTGGTTAATTTGACCTGTTAAAGGGAAGTTTTAAATGCAAGTTGCTATTCTTATTAAATAGATATAAGTATGTTAACTAAATCACAAATTAATTAAATGACTCCTTTTCCAAGAGCTGCATGCATAGGCACAAACACACAGCAGTCGTGTACATGCTCAACCTCTGAAAGGTACCACTCCCCTACTGATCCAGATCAACTTACCAACACAAACAACACACACTTGTTCAGTATCTATTACTACTGCTACGTAGCATTGTGATGATTTCATGTTCTTTGGGTAAGCTGAGTCTGAAACAGCAGATCTTAAATTATTTTCCCCAACTTATTCAGGATTTATTTTACATATAGAGGCATTACAAACTGCCCCGTTGTTTGCCTTGTGCACAAAGAAATGTGTTCACTTTTCCTTCCTTATTTCGCTCTAATATGGGAATTAACTTTCTGGAAGCTAAGCTTTAAAACCCACTTTTACTTCAAGCAGCTGTAGGACTGACCACTGGCATATTTTCAAGGGGAGAAAGACTACCATTTAAATGCAGGTCTTGCACTAGTAGCTTGTCAGAAAAGGTATTAACTAAAATGTTACATCACTGTACCAGTTCCAAAAGTAAGCCCAGTACATTCAAAAATGGCAGGTTTTACAGTCAAGAAACAAAAGTTAAAAACAAACACATAGTAGTGTAGATTAATCTTTACAAATTAAGTAGAATTCTAACAAGGTGCAAGCAGAGCAAAGTGCTGCACAAATGTGAAGCAATTGGGAATCCAAGAACCTTGGCACAAGGTTGAGTCATAAAATTTCCATACCCTTAAATCCCATGTGCACAGCTTTAAACAGCATTCCTGTCATGATCCTCTGTACAAACATCAAGTAAACAAAGCAATGTATTTTGATGTCTCGCACTTGACAGGGCCATTGAAAAACAAATTAATCCAGTACAGTAAGAAACACGGTTGTGTAAATGATCACAAGAAATATATGTAAATTTGAACAATCATTCATTTAGTGGAGCTGACATTCCACTTCATACTACTAAACCACCTCTTATACTGCTAAATTACTCTAGAATATCACTGAATAGCACTGACTATCAGTACTATTAATGTATCACTTATCACTTAGCAATTTTCGAAGTATAAAATTAGGAATTATTCTTTCCCATTAAAACGAGTTGAAGCACTCAGAGAAAAGCTTGCAATTTACTCACTTGTTTACAAGCTTCTGCCTTTTCTTCCATTTCTTTCCATGCTTTCAACATCTTCTCAGAAGCTGACAATAGAATGTACTTTCATTTTAAACTTAAAATTTACAAAGATGTTAATGACCACACTATTTTACCTCAAATTCAAAGAAGTTTTAATCTGAAAATTTCTAAAGGCAAGGACTATTGTCTTAAGTAACTGTTAGGGAAGATGAAAGCATGCAACCAATTTAGGAAGAGAAAAAAGGCATGAAATTTAGCCAGACAGTATTGCTTTCCCTTAAGAGATCAAATACAGAATTACAATTTCTCATGATTTTCCTCAATTTATTCTCATTCCAGTAACGTTTCCAAGTGTTCTTCATACTTACTATACTCCAACTGACTAGTGATCTATTTCACAACACTATTTTCTTAACTAATTTTTAAACTTGCATCTATTCTTGTCAGCTTTTCACAACAATGAACAATTTGTCCAAACAAAATTTGTTAACTTTTTATAACTCATTCATAATTTGCCTTGTTGCTTAACTCATATTGGCATGCATACAAACATAAACAAAAAAAATTACAAGACTGCTAATGTACCATATAAACAACATTACTAGCTTTTAGAATAATGTTAGCAACAAAATTAGTAGTAGAAGCTTAGCATACAAAAGGATAAAGAGAAATATGATGAGCTAAAGGACAGCACTACTCAGACCAACTTCAATCAAGTGGTAATTTAATCCAATCTCAACTACTGCAGTATTGTTTCTTTTCACCTAGTCTGATGTCTAATTTCTTTTAGAAATGCAACACTACAACAAGAAGTTACATACCAGATTACTACATTATCAAGGGAGCTAGTAATAGCATTACAGACTTGGGGTAAGTCAGAAATGCCTGCCTTTGCTGGTTCTGGAATTCCCAGTGAGGCTCCAAACCACAGAACGACATAGCAGTCGAACTGGAAGAAGTGAAAGGATTTGCCTCATATCACTGTAAATGTACTGAGTTACTTTAAGAAACATTTCTTAGTAAGTTGGGTTTTAATTTGTCATTAAACCTGCTAACAGGGATCCTGCTGCTGCTGCTACTTGGCAAGCCAACAAGCACCTGAGAGAGGATGAACAACAACTCTACATTCCTGGATCCATAATTCCACAACTAAACGTCAAACCATTACTTTCAAAATTGTCAGTGGTCTCATTTTTCTGGAGTTCTTTCCTGCATAGCCGCAAATATCATAGCCCACTTTATCTTCCTTCTTAAAATCCATGAAAGAGATAGCCGTGGTTTGGTTTGATCGATTCTGGGTCTTTTTTTTTAAAATTCAGTCATGAGAAGTGAGTGCTGCCCAAGCCCAATTCCTCCTTGAGGTGCTTCCTTGAATCTCAACAGTCTTGGGGGGGGAGCGTACAGACAAGCATAGTGATCTTATTTAGAGAGTTCCAGGATTTTGACCCAGCG